CAGGGGCACAGCGGAGGACCCGGAAGGGTTCTCGGGCAGACGGCCCGGGGGCAAGGCAGAGATCAAGGATGGGGTCTCGGGCGGACGGCCCGGGGGCAAGGCAGGAAGAGTCAGGGGGCCGGGCCCGGGGGCAAAGACCGCGGCACTCAGGGGGCCGGGCTCGAGGGCGAAGACCAGACAGCTCCGGAGGCCGGGCAGGACCTGGTGTCGGCCGAACAGGAACCGGAGCCGGTGGGACAGGCTTCGGCAGGATCCCCCACGGAAGAGGACCAGGAGTTGGCAGGACGCCCGGCGAGACAGGTGATGGCGGGGCCTCCAACGGAACAGGACAAGGGGTTGGCAGGACAAGGGGTTGGCAGGACCCCCGGCAGAAGAGTTGTCGGCGGGACCCCCAGAGGAACAGGACGTAGGATTGGCAGGACCCCCGGCAGGAGAGTAGTCGGCGGGACCTCCAACGGGACTGGACATGGAGCTGGCAGGACCCCCAGCGGAACCTCCAACGGCACAGGACATAGGGTTGGCAGGACCCCCGGCAGGAGAGTATTCGGCGGGAACCCCAACGGGAACAGGATCTGGTGTCGGCAGGACCCCCGGCGGAACAGGTGACGGCGGGACCTCCAACAGGACACGGGGAGCTGGAGTGGGCCGGAACACCGACAGAACACGAGGAGCTGGAGTGGGCCGGAACACCGACAGAACACGAGGGACTGGAGTGGGTCGGATAGCCGGAACGTGAGCCAGAATCATAGCTGCTGGGGCCGGTACTGGCGTCGGAACTGGAGCCGGAATTGAAGACGGAACCATGGNNNNGAACAGGATCTGGTGTCGGCAGGACCCCCGGCGGAACAGGTGACGGCGGGACCTCCAACAGGACACGGGGAGCTGGAGTGGGCCGGAACACCGACAGAACACGAGGGACTGGAGTGGGTCGGATAGCCGGAACGTGAGCCAGAATCATAGCTGCTGGGGCCGGCACTTGAGTCGGAACTGGAGCCGTAATTGAAGCCGGAACCATGGCTGCTGGGGCCGGTACTGGAGCCGGAACTGGGGCCGGAACCATGGCTGCTGGGGCCAGAACTGGGGCTGGAACCATGGCTGCTGGGGCCAGAACTGAGGCTGGAACCATGGCTGCTGGGGCCAGAACTGAGGCTGGAACCATAGCTGCTGGGGCCGGAACTGGGGCCGGAACCATAGCTGCTGGGGCCGGAACTGGGGCCGGAACCATGGCTGCTGGGGCCAGAACTGAGGCTGGAACCATGGCTGCTGGGGCCAGAACTGGGGCCGGAACTATGGCTCTTGGGGCTCAGGCTGCCAGCCTGGACCTGCGACTCCCCCTCCCAGGAGCCCCCTGGAGGCTCCGTGGACCTCCAAAAGCCAGACGAGCTCCAGAGAACGGCTCCCGGACAGGAGCAGGAACTGGGGAAGAAGCAGAGGCCGACTCCAGACGGAACACACCGAGGCGTATGGTGTCAGGTTGGGAGTTGGGAGGCAGGAAGCTAGCATCCTTGGGGCTAGCAGGCCGGGAATCACACACCGAAAGGAAGTCCAAGATCCAGCCAGGTAAGAATTTCACTAAACCTGGTTTCTCTATAGCCATCTGATACGCCTCAGCCAGAGCAGCCTGTCGCTGCTGAACTCCAGACGCTCCCCTCCACTTATCAGAGCAGCCAGCCAAAGAAAAGGAAAAACTGAGTAATTCTAGCTCAAAAGAATCTGCTGGGCCCATCCTTGGGGAGATCCTTCTGTCAGGGTTGAGTGAGGCACGCAGGACCCAAATGCAGATTACACAGATAATACCTTTATTTCAAGGCTTAACTAGAACAAACAGAACACTAACCCGTGAACACAGTCATACACAAGCAAGGAACTCACAAAGACTAACAAAAAACACTGAACCTAAATGCACACAGGACTAATCAAACAAACAAGAGACAGGTGAGGAGGGAGGAGAAAACACAGGGGCACCAGGTGAACACAATCGGGTAATCAGGTAGGAGAGAAAACAGACAGAAAGCAACAGGCAAGACAGGGGGTGAACACTTTAAAAAATAAAACAGGAAACCAAAGACAGAAAAAGACAAGACAAAACACAACACAGACAGATCGTGACAGATTCATTCCCAAATCAATGAGTTATTTTCTTTCGTGACTACACTTCCTTCGGACTGAATTTTACAATTGTTGCTGTGTATAAAAAAACAAAAACAAACAAAACAAAATGAGGGGTCAGGAGGTTCCCATAACAGATGGCTGTTCCCTCTAAATAACTACATTGAACATACATTCATTTCAGTTCCCCAGTGTGTGTGTGTGTGTGTGTGTGTGTGTGTGTGTGTGTGTGTGTGTGTGTGTGTGTGTGTGTGTTTGTGTGTGCACCAGAGAAAGAGAGACAGAGAGAATCAGAAAATGAACCTCTGTGTTAATCTTACAGCAAATAGCAGTGCATAATTTTTTAAGCACATTTAATTTAATGTAATGTGTCTTTACACATCAGTGCCAATAAATCAACTTCCAAATGATTTCTGTTAAGTATTGGCAGTCATGAGCTCATCCCTATTGTAGCTCAGAGGATACTGGAGGCTATAGGTTTCCCTCGTGTCACTCCAACATATTTGAATTGAATAGTGATTGATAGAGTGAGGAGAATGGAAGAGAGAGGGAGAGAGAGGGGGAGAGAGAGAAAGAGAGAGAGCCTATTCGGAGGAAGGAGAAACTAGCGAAGAAGCCTCAGCACTTACACTTGCCAAAACGGCTCCACGCAGCCAGCAAGCGACACTTTAAAGATCCACCGTTTTACATTTGAGTTCACAATTGTAAGCACATTCGCTGAGCCTGTGCAGTGTTGGACACGCCACGGGGAAATGGGATGTTCTCTAACGTAACTTGACGGCGGCAGCAGCAGTTGTCGGACCGGCGTTTTCGGCGTCTCCTCTCAGCGGATTTACAAAGCCTCTCCGGAGCCTGCTATGATATTCAGAACCCTGGACAGCGACTAAACCTTACAGCTGCCTGGAGAAAAAGACTAACCGACCAGTGGAGGTAAGCCAGCAGAGTTTAACAGAAGCTGGTGGGGCCATGGCAGTCGCAAGGGGAAAACAATACTATTTTATAATGTGTTAAATGTGCTGCGTCGCTGATTTAGAGAGGGACTAGATAGCTCTACAGGCAACCCGACGCTACAAATGGGGAAAAGTCTAGAGTTGGCGGAACTCTTGTATATTAACGCAGTTCAACTTGTTTCTTAGCATGTATGTTTAAGAGATAAATGCCATACATTCTGCCACTTTGTACCAGTCTAGTTTGAGACTCTTCCCGCCGCTCTTCTCCATGTTAAAGCTGCACATTTTTAGCGCGTTGCAGCCTAATAATATATAGTGAATGCACGCATTGTGACACGGCAAAGAAGGCTAAAGTAATCGCGTAACGTTATAGAGGTTTTTAGTATGATTATACAATTATTATTATTATTATTATTAGTGCTATAAGGCCAGCTGCCGTTCCCTCCCGTCAGTTTTATTGAAGGCAGATGCTTATTTTGAAGAGTCAGCGCGTGGCCAGGCAGCAGCGGCTCGTGCCTCCGGTCTGCGCGGAAAATCAGCCCATGCATGTAAACGTACAAACACACAGAAACACACACACCGAAAAACACACACGCACACACCAACACACACACCGAATCACACAAAGCCTGCAGCAAGTCACTAATAAAATATATTCCTGTCACGAGCACCATGCTTCCTCACCACACCAATAACTCAGTGTACATATCTATAATTAACCTATACATGTATAATATATAACCTAATTTTGCCAATAATCCAGAGTGATTTACGATGAGTCAGCAGCCAGTGGGTTAAGGTTTTTGCTCAATGGCTCCTCAACAGAAAACAAGGCTGCTGCATTGAGGCTCTATGTGGTTTCTTGGAGGCACATGCCGGGTGTTTAACTGGTGATCTTGAAGGTGTTTTCATTATCATGTGTTGGAAAATGACTTTGAGGTATTTAACATATTTGATTGACGATCTTGGCAATCATCTGCCATAATTATAGCAGAAATGAGTAGTCAATTAATTGTTAGAAATTGAGTAAACAATTACTTTTTGCTATCATAGAACGAACGCTTGAGTTCCACCTCATTGATTTGGTACATATTAGCTTTTATATGTTTTATGTGTTAGATGCTGGATTGGAGACTGAAAGTAAATGTTCACTACAGTATGTTTCATATTTCCTTACATAAACGCTTAATTGTTTACTCAAGAAAAGAATCAGCATATTAATCGATAATGAAAATGATCCTTGGTTGGAGCCAAAGTCACAACTTGAAGAGTTGGCAAACACTGCTATCTTCAAGAATATATTTATTCTACACCCTCTTAATCCCAGTTGCACATGAGCTGTTGCTGGGATTAAACATGCAACCTTTGGGTTTCCAGAAGCGTGGCTGAAAACGATGTGGCCACCCAGCTTCCTCCATGCATCACTTGAACCTGCTGCAGCTCTTTTGCACAGACAAATTCATTCTCAGAATGTAAAGGAAGAAAAATGCCCATGTCAGGCCAGCTTTGAATAAGAGGTGACCGCCATGAGTTTTTGCCTGCGGCGCATTACCAGGCTCTGATAGCCCTCAACACACTCTCACGCACACAAAAGCATTCACACACCCTGACTGTGTAAACCCACAGAGATGTAAGCCTCGGTTTTAAAGCCTTGATTTTAATGATGTTCATTAGGATTTTGATTACACTGAACGTGTGATAACTCTCGGCTCGCTGTTAACTGTGTCTGATATGTCGGCTCAGGCTGTGAGTGACAAGAATTTAGTGGAACGAATCAAGAAGTGTGAATCTGCGGAGATGCTGCCACAGGGCTTGACTCTAGTGTCCCCGAAAGAAAGAAAGCTCTTTTTAATATGCCAGTTCTGCCTCTGGGTTATTGAGCTCTGGACGCTACTGTATGGAAATTGCTGCTCTATATCATGGGATTGATGAACTATATGCAAATTAATCTTTCATGCTCAATTTATTATCAAATAAACAGACCATGAATTTGAATTTGAAAGTGGCCCTACAGGGGGCAGGCCACACAATAGCTGGTTACCTCTCTCTAAAGCGCCTTTGTCTAAATAGAAATTAAACTCCCAAGGTTGGAGGGCATGTACTTTAAGAAGCTGAATTCAGGGCATTTATGTGGAGTCACTTCTTATATCTTCAAAGCAAAGCTACTTTAACCACCATTTGCCACTACAAGGATGTCTTTTTAACCGGTCTCCCTGTGCCTCATTGCAAAGCATGGCACAGCCACAACCTGAGGGTCAGCAGTTTCCAGCCCTCATTGGCATCCAGGGCACAGCTGTAGATGAGCTCTGCTTCCGATTTTTTGCATTGCACTGATTGCGGGGTTGCTTTTCATGAGCGTGCTGTTTACAAGCTCATTGCACATTGGTCCATGTTCTTTTTGTATGCTTGGAATTCCATTATGGACCCATGCTGGAAGCGCAATTAAATTCAATATAACTATAAATACATGACGGCCTGGTCCGTGAGCCAGAGAGCAGGAAGAGGCGGTGACCACCCACTCACCCTCCTCACTCTCCTTTCCAATCATCCCAGGCCATGTGGAAGCCCCTCACCCTGCTGCGTAGTGAGTTGTGGTCGATTTGAATGATCAACCGAAGACAACCTGGGAAGCAAAGGCTGTCACAGAGAAAATAAAAGCCAGCAATGAGTTCAGTGAGGCCGGAAGGTGATTGTTCACTCCCCCGTGTGTTCCTATAGCTCCCTTTGGCACCGATAGACATGAGGGAAATGAGAGTGCTCTGTCTTTGCTTTTCTGGACTCTGCTCCGGGCAAGGCTGTGCCGTGCTAAGCTAAGCTGTATGCTTCTGTGCTGGGCTTCACTTGATGTCATTAGCTGAAACACAGCTGCTGTTGAATCTGATGCAGTAAGCACTCGGCTCATCTCATCGGTTCTCAGCCACTGGTTTTCCACTCCAGAATCACTGTGCTTCGGAGGGCTATAATCTCACATAATGGCGTCCACTCCAATCAATGGCCAAATGGCACGGGGAATCAATAGCCACCATACTGTACAATAACGTGGCCCCGGAGTGGCAGAAAGGAAAGCAGCCTGCAGCCGTCACATGTTTAACTGTGGAAACTCTTTGAAAATATACTCCTTAATTATGAATCAAAAATACCAACCTTGTTAACGAGCCATGTATTATGGATTGCTGCATGATCTATGCTAATGTAAGCACAGGGGGAAAACTGGCACTACTTTGCTTGCTTGCCTCTCTCTTTAATCACCACACCACACGACACCACACCACACCACACCACACGACACCACACCACACACACGCACACACACACACACACACACACACACACACACACACACACACACACACACACACACACACACAAAGTATATATGCCCAGAAGCTCAAGAGTCAAGCCAAAACTGAGATATACAACTTTACATATACTTAACAGTGCAATAACAGTAAATATTCATGATTGGTCAAAAGAAAAGATTCATGTATAACTAGCTGTTAAAATACCCCTCCCACACTTCTCCTTCACACACTTCCACACACATCGGTGGTTTTCAAAATCAGGCAAGAAAATAGCGTTCATACCATGGTTCATACATTGAACCTATTAAAATAAAGATATGTTGGTTAATCCTAAGAAGCCAGAAAATCCATTAGGTTTAAAGTGTTAATCAATGTTGTATGCATGCCTTTTGAAAGAGCTCTAAGAAAAACAATATTTACATTTAAAAAGGCAACAAAAACATTTCTGCAGCTTTATCTGGGAGATAACAGTTTTACTCATCTACAATGAAAGCACTTCAACTTTCCATGTCTGAAATGTGTTGTCTCTAGTATCGAAAGAGATTATATTATGCACAGCGAAAAAGCATAAAGGGTTTAGGCAAGAATACAAATTGGAAAGGTAACTCGCTAAGGGTCACATGTAGAGCTCAGTAAATGCTTTTATTCCAACAGAGAAGCAAATTGCCCTGAATGGGAGATAAGATGTTTATCTCTCCGTCTGTACCACACTTTAACGCCGTGAGAACCAATGTATGATTAGATCCGGCTTTTAAAAATCACTAGCACCTTAACTGGCAGGTTCTCTGTGGGAGAGCTGTTTGCAATCTGCTCAGCATCTCATAAAGCAGAGTTACAATAACTGCACTGGACGTTTATAAATCAAAGACTTCAAATCTTTGAGTGTTGCCCGATGAGGAAACTCATTTGCAGATGTGGGCTTGGACCAATCGCTGCCAGTGTTGAGTTACACATGACGAGTTACTGTAATGTAGGCCTATTATAAAACACTGCAACATATGCATAGTGATTAAAGATTTTCCCATATCACTGGTTTGGCTCTGGGTATTTTCTTGCCAATATCTCAGCTAATTTGCTTCAGTGGAGGATAGTTGACGTGAGAGAAAGGGACAGCAGCAGAATGCAAAGCCTATCTCTGTACTGTAGGGCTGTCCCGAATACAATTTTTCGGGTTCCGGATATTCGGTAGTAATCAGCAGCGAATATTCGGCCCGGGGGGGTTATTAACCCAATTTGTGTTCTTTGAAATTGAAACGGATATCGCATTTTGTTTGTTACTTTCGTTGCATTTGTATATGTCTTAAGTGTAATTTGGCTTGGCTTCCTATTTATGGACATGCTTTTATTTTGAAGGAGAGGTAGCGCTGTTGACAGGAAGTTGTTGTTGCTTTGGACACAACGTGACGGAGATTAACGGAGAAAAGTAATATCTACATATAAAGACGGAGAAAGTAAACGATAACGTTTATAAGTGTTAGAACCCCCCAAACAAGCTCTTACGTTGATATTGGAGATTTCAATTAATTCAATTTGGAAAAAACGGGGAAAAAACAAACAAAACGAATATCCGAATAATGAAATTGAAACCCGAATAGTACTCCAACGAACGAATATTCGGGTACAGCCCTACGTCCTGTAAAAAGAAGAGTTTGGCATTTCATTACCACACCACTGTATA